GTCTGTAGAGTTTTCCATCTGGTGTGGGTGAGTGATAGTCTACTTTGATTATGGTTAAGGTAGATTATCATTTACAGTGTAATCAGTGAGGGGATTCTGCAGGTTGTTGAGGGTTCAGCCTCCTGATGAGTCAGTGAAACTCCGACGAAACAGTTTGTCACAGCCCCTCGTTTGTTGTCCTCTTCTCTCTCTCTGCCTATGGTTTACCGGGCAGTTCTGTTTGTGACGATATATATATATATATATATCACTCGCACATATGCATGCGGAAATGAAAGTAATAATCCTATCCATTAAGCAGCATTGGCCGCAGGGGGAAAGTCCACGGTCCGCTGCGCGTCGGATTTCGGTGAGGACCGGCGGATAAAGTTGTGCCAGCAGTCCAATCTAAATTTGTTTGTCAGGTGTCAGCAGTCCATAACACCATAGCTTATGAAAAATAAAAATATATCACTTGCATATATGCATGCGGAAACGAAAATCATAATCATATCCCTTAAATAACTATTTAAAAAGGACTGGTGTTTTATTTTAGAAGGTTTGGCAAAGGTTGGGGCGTGTGTGAATAAGGCAAGGGGTGTAGGACAGAGAGTGGTTGAAGTTGACCCTGTGTAGTGTGTGGTCTGTCGATGTTGAATTTGTGTATGATGACAAATATGTTTGTGATTTGAAGTCCGGATTCGGTGTCTGCTTTTTGGAATTCTTATAGTTGGACGTTGAGGTCTGCGGCAACTGACATAGTTAAACCCCTTTGCCTTTTTCCAGGCCTCCGAAGATGGAGCCCCGTTTCCACGATTAGAGGCGTTTTGCCGCCATAAAAGGGCAAATTTCGTGCCTACCACTCCTCTCCACAGTGTGCAGAGGAGGGTAGGTCCCACAATTGCTTTTGTGTTTGTCTAGCATCAAGAGACTAACCTCTCAAGATGCGTGTCAGTTGACGTTTGAGTGTCGAAAGCAAGCCTCAATATCATTGATGACCACATGAATATGGGTACCACATAGTACACCATCCTTGCGGCTGCTTGCGTATTCATGCATGGCTACTAGATATAACTAAGACCTATGTCGTCGCAATATTTATTTAGAATCTTGTGCGCGGCATCCACTTAATTCTGTTATCAAAGGTTATGGGTCGCATGTGAAAAAGGGACTAGGCGTGATTTATGCATGGAGTTTGGTTCTATTTTGTGAAGTATATCGCGTGGCTAGATGAATCGTCCTAGTCGACAGGTGCAAAGTTGCACTTGGGAGATCACCCCCCAAAGCGTCGGTTCGGGTACAAGTCCGATTAAGGCGTTCGACCGCGCGTACCCCCTATGATACAACGTACGAGAAACGCCCTCGATTGGCCACCTCTGCGCTAGCACCCGAGCAACTTTCACACGTGGTTTGGTAGCTCGGTTGGGATACGCCTGTCCAAGGGTGGTGACAACCCCTTGGGCAGAGGTAAGTTGTGCCTCGCGTGGCCCCTATCATGTCGTAGGGGTTCGTGAGAGGTGTGTTGGTGCACTTGACTGCAGTGGCGAAAACTCCCATTCGATAAATGTCCTGCAAAAATCCTGCAGGACGCGGTTGGGAGGGTCCCTCTGGACCGATGCGCTCGACACCACTTCATCCTAGTGCGCCTCTACTTATCATGTGCATGTGTTTTGTAGTTTCCTTGATACCCTCACTCATTATTTAAGATGTGTGTATCTCGTTTCATCATAGTGTGCCTCTACTAGTCATGTGGGAGTGTTTTGTCAAATTTCCTTAATGTGGGCGCTTATTATTTTACTTGGGTGTATTTCGCTTCATCCTAGTGTGCTTCTACTTGTCATACACAAGTGTTTTGGCTAGTTCTCTTTATGTTTTTGCTCATTCTTCAACTTGGGTGTATCTCGGTTCATTATGATGCACTTTTCTTAGTCATGTGCATGTGGCTTGTTTAGTTCCCGTCATGCTTTCCCTCTTTCTTCTACTTGGTTGTATCTCGCTTCATTCTAAGTGTGTTTATTCTACTCATGTGCATGAGTTTAGTCTAAGTTTTCTTATTGGTTTCTTCCATTATTGCACTTGGTTGTACTTTGTTACTCCCATGATGAGTCTAATCTAACTTAGTGTGATCACACTTGTGATTTTCCTAGTTTAATCATACTCTGCTACCCATGCTCTCTATTTGAATTTTCTTATTTCGCACGATGGGTCTACTATTGTCTAGTGTAGGAATTGCGGCTG